TCTAAATCTATATAGTAGATATCGATATATTAGTTAGCGTTAATACTATTATTTATATATCTTTAAGATACTCTATATCTACGCTTTTATTCTTTATCGTTATTATACTTAATATATTATCGATCTTTAAGACTAAAGCTAATTTTATATAATTTAATATAAACGCTATAGCTATAGATTATAATTATCTAAAGAAATAAAAGAAACTTAAATAAGATATACTAAAGTAAAATATTATAGAGTAGTAAGGTTAAATATATTAGTAATAGTATCTTTACGATTGTAGCCTTAAGTAGCTTATAACTTAAGGTCGACTATTAAATAAGAACGAATTAATCTTATATCGCGCTATCGAAGTATTCGATATTTAGGCCTATAAAGCTTTAAAGGATATTAATACTCTTAACTAAAAAGCTCGTTATTAACTCTAAAGCGAGAAGTAAAACAAGATTTCTCTTCGCTTATTTTATCGTCTATAAAATAGAGATAGCGAATACTATTATCTAAGCTATATATAATAGTTTCTATACTATACTCTATAAGTTTATATCGTAGAATAAAATCTTAATAACTTAACCTTAGCTAATTAAACTATAGTGTTTAATAAAGAGAGTATAAATAAAGAGAGTAATATAAGTAATAATAATAACGAGGATAACTATATTAATTATAAATATTATAGGATTTCTATAATCCTTATAATTAACTAACTTAAGAAATTCTAGAATATATATAAGCTTTTTCCTTAGACTATTAACTAGTAAAGAGATTAATAGTAAATAATTAAGAAATTATATATAACTCTAAAAAAGAAATATTCTATCGATATATTAAAGATTACTCTTTAAATTTTATTTTGATTCTTTATCTTTTACGTTATTAAAGAGAATAGATTTCGAAGTATATTAATTTACTTTACTATAGTCTTAGGTATTAACGAAGAGAATCGATAGCTTAGGGAGATTATTTACTTCTCGTATATTCTCGCTAGACTAGTTTAGTCTATTTAATTTCTCGATATTAATTTTCTTCTCTTAGTTAGCGAGCGTAATTACTAGTAAAAGTACTCTAAGGTACGCGAGTAGTTTCTTTAGTCTCGTCGTAATTTTTTATATAATAATACTAGTACTTTAATAAATAAATTTATTAATTTTTTTATATATAGTAAATATATTACTCTTAATATAAGTAATAATACTATAGTTATTTAATTGCGCGATAAATAAATAATATTCTATAAGAATATTACTATTTTATTAATTATATTTTATATTATAATCTATAAGAATATCTAGCGAATAAAGATACTTCTTTAAGAATAGTTTATATAGATTCAATTTTTAGAGAAGCATTTTATTGTTAATTTTAATTAAATCGAGAATAACTAGACCCTATTAATATATAGATATTTATTTATTAGTTAAGTCGCTAATATTTATCTCGATAATAGTCGAGAGTAAATATTTTAATATATACTAAAGTAATACAGTAAGTACTAACTACGAAGTAGCGATAATATCTAGAAATACGGCAATATTCGTCGATAGTTAAGCTTTACTAAGTAATTTCTAGAACGACTTCTCTTCGCGATCTATTTAATATATAGCTCTTTTACTCGCGATACTAAGCTAACCACTATCTATTTTTGTAATAAAATACTTTAGAATCGTAATTACTTTTTTATCGATAATACTAGTACTATTATTATTTATTATTATAAATTTTAGTAGCTATTCGATATCTTTAAGATTATCTCTTAATTTCTTTTATATATTGTTAGCTAACTTCTCGTAGTTTACTTTATTTATATTTAATTATTTTATAAGTATCTTCTTATTTAAATCTAAAACTAGACTTTATATAATTATATCTAGTATAGTCTAAAGGGGCCGTAGAAAATCGATTACTTTATACGCGTTATTTAACGAGAGATCGATATTAGCTTTAATTATTAATTTTATATATTAGATTTCTACTATATTATTATTAATATTAGTTATATTATAATAAATAAAAGATTTACTATAAAGTATAAGAGAGAACTAAAGAAGATAAAAGAATCGAACGTAGATCTTTAAGACTCTCTCGAGATATAAAGCGAGCGAAGCGATACTATAAATACTAAGCGATATAAGGTATATATCGATATCTTTAAGTATTTAATATCTAAGTTAATCGATATCTTTTATTCTATTAGTAAAGGGTAATATCGTTTCCTCGATCTTTTTAGTATAACTATCGACCTTTATACTTAATCCTCTATATCTCGCGCGTTTTATACGTTTATAGCTACTACGCTAGAAACTATAGAAGATCTTAATAAGCGTCTTAGTCGCGACTTCTAGAAGATTTTCTAATTGACGCCGCGCTAGCGAGTATTATTTACTATAATAGAGAGCCTAAACTAAGACTCGATTAACTATAGCACTAGTAATAATTATTTTCTAATAAATTCGACTACTATTACTTATATCGAGATACTCGTTATCTCTCTTAGTAGTTATAGCTATATTAATAATATTTTATACTATAATATAAAAAATAAAAATATTAATTCTATTAAGTCTCTTAAGTCTAGAGACGATAATATCGATTCTAACTATATTTTATATTATAGTCTAAAAGATATAGATATCGCTATAATTTTATTTAAGAGCCCTATATTTTTATCTACGTCGATAGCTAAGGAATTATTTTTATCTAAAGAAATTAAGGGGACTCTATATCGACTATTTAGATCTAGGCGCGTCTTATTTTACTTCTAGATATAGAAGAAAGGGGTTATAGCGGTACTTCGCCTAGAAACCTTAGTTACTATAATTCTATCTACTAAGGACGAGAAGACATTACTAACTCTATTACCTATATTACTTAAGTTTATAGATATATTTATTTTTGTCGTATTATTTTGTATTTTTATAGATAACCTTATAACTTAGTTTACTAATATTAACGTTAATTATTATAAATAGACGATTTAAGCTCTACTAAGAATCGCTTAAGTTATTGTCGTTAGTATAGATATTATTATAAACGATCGTTTCTTTATCTTCGTTTATCTCTTTATATAGAAAAGCCTTCTTTAATAAGTTTTTATAGACGAGTGCTATATTATCTTTATTAATAGCTACTAGCGTAAAAAGCTATTCTAGATCTTATATATTTGAAACCTAGATTATTCGATTTATTTTTTTATTGTTACTTTATCGTTAATATACGTATATAAGCTCGAGAATAGTATAGCGATATAAAATACTTATATTATTTAAGGTAGTACGATCTATCCTCGTTATCGATATTTCGTCTAAACGTATCCTTTTAATTAACTCGAGGCGTAGGCTATAGAGATTTACCAACGTTATTTTTACTATCTAATTAGTTATAGCGAGAGAGGAGTAGTATATAGTCTCTTAAAAAACGTCTATATATTACTTACGACTACTCTTAATTATTACTACTACTATATCGATAATTAGGACCGCGCGAAGCGACTAAAAAATTAGGTCCGATATAATAGGCTAACCCTAACTACCTTAATACTTAATATCGACGTTAATATTACGAATATTATATTCGTTCTCTACATTAATCTTTTATACTTAATAATTAATTTTATTTAGTAAAGTAGTTGTATTAAATACGAGGGTAAATTCGTCGACTTTATTATCCTCGTCTCTCTTAAGAAAGTCGAGAGAAAGCTTCGTCGCGCGAGTCTTAAAGATAAGGAGAAGGCCGTAGTAATATTTATAGCGAGTATAAGCTATCGCCGTCGTATTATAAGTATATATCTCGACGGCGAGGCCCTCGCTCGATTCTATTTAGATAAGAGGACTTAGGCTCGTTACAATCGCTATAGTAAAGGCGTTTATAAAGTAATGCGTTAAGTCTAAAAAGAGGAAAATATTTATATCCTTATTAAAAAGTATCTTAGGCGCTAGATAATTAGCTATCTTTCTACCCGTATAACTCGGCTTAGGGAATAGAAAAATCTCCCCGTTTTTCGATCTTTTATCGACTCTAATGGCCTTTAGGAAGGCTTAGCTATCCGTTAAACTCTTTTGTAACCTTGTCTGATTGATATTCAACATCGACGCAATATATTAATTTCGGACGACAAGGGAGTTCCTTAGTATACCGGGTATGCCAGAGACTTCCTTAGTATACCGGGTATGCCAGAGACTTCCTTAGTATACCGGGTATGCCAGAGACTTCCTTAGTATACCGGGTATGCTAGAGACTTCCTTAGTAAACTGGGCTAGTAGGAAAGTCGATCTTATATTATAATATAAGAGACTCCTCGATAGTCTTCCTCCCTTGATATCCCTTCTTTTCTTTTTATATTTCGATAATCTTCCCCTTTTCCCTAGTTCATTATATTAATATGATAGACTCCTCGATATCCCTCCTCTTCTTTTTCTATTCGATAATCTTCCCCTTCTCCCTGGTTTATCATATTAATATGATGGACTCCTCGATAGTCTTCCACCTCAATCATTGTTCTCTTCTTTCCCTTCGCTCCTTTCTCTGCTCTACTTTCTACCGAACTTCACTTGTATAAGTAAATTAGCCTGAATATTATCTTCAGTATTATTGCTTCCCCTCGCTAGGAAATATCGTGCGATATCCTCCCTTACGAGGTATCCTGTAAATAAGAGTAATTATCGTACTAGACGTATTAAACTCTTCCTTCCGTGACGATAAACTCCTCTCGCTACCCTGGATAGATCGTTGTAATGCGCTTCTAGTAATGGAGGCTACAAGATTTGCCCAAAGTCCCTCGACGTTAAATTGTCTACGTGACCAACGGACTTGCGTATACTGATAGGCTTGGCGCTCGGCTCTACTATATTTTGTTTACCTGATATTATTCCTATCACCCCCCGAAACTTTTCTTTTGTATATACAGTATCTCTTTCTAAATACATCGTTCTTCTCTCGATCCTCTAATTCTTAAAGCTTCTTATTATTCAAAGTCTGAAAGGCGTCTTTAGGTTCCTAAGATGGCTAAAGCCGCTAAGGTATCCCTTGACGATGTTAAGCATGCCGCCGAAGTAGTGAGTTCTGATTATAGATGGGCCTTAGTGACGGAAGATTGATTTCGATCCGATAGGCTTATATCCTAGCGTAGGGATACGTCGATAGCTTCAAAGGTAAGGATAAGGACCTAGCGAAGAAGAGAGCGCGGGAGGCTATCGCACCCTATAACTACCCTCTCTCTATATCTAGTAGAATAGACCGCTAATAAAGGCATCAAGTCATTCGAGATAAGAACAAAGATAACGGCGACGATGCTAGCGAAGATGACGAATCTATAGAACTGAGTAGCTCCGACGAGGAAGATCGTGACAGTGGCGAAGAGGACGAAGATATAGAACTGAGTAGCTCCGACGAGGAAGACGATACCGACGACACAGATAACTCCGAGGATGGTGTTTGCGTTACTATAAAGACGAAGAGAGTCTTGGTCACCCGAAGCAAGAAAACCCTAGCGGCAACAAAGTAGGCTCGTCCAGTCACTAAGAAGTCGTCTGCCAAAGAACGTAAGCGTCGTGGGGATGATACTGACGACGACACCAACAGCGATATCAATAAACGACGCAAGGTAACTGGCAACCACCGTGGCAGCAGGACCAAGGGCAGAGTCTTCAAGGCCGGCAAACTCTCCAAGAGCAAGTGAGCCCTAGCCGTTGGGTCAAATACGACCGTCCTTATGCCAGGCCAGTAGACACGTCAATACACAGCCCTTCAGATATTGTTAAGGACTTGGGAGTAGGGGAGTACGTTGAGAGAGTAGCTAGTTTTGATAGCACAAGGCTATAGCTCTTGCATAAATCAAACGAACTGTACCTATATTCTCTACGACGTATAAAGTAGTTCTCGTCGGATCTAAATTCTTTATCTACTACTTAGGTAAGATCTCTTTGTCCGGATTCCCTTTTTAAATTCGTGCTTATAGGTTACTCGAAATGTCTTCTCTATTCTTACAATCTACGGTGACCGACTGCTCGCTGCTACAATCTACCTCTTCCCTAGTATCGGTCTTGTTATTAATATCCGTTTTCTTGTCAGTATCGGTCTAACCTCCCCATCTTATCTTGTCGCTAAGGACGATCTTATTATAAAGCTGGGTATCGTATCCTCTCGTAGTATCGGTAGATTCAGATTCCTCGCCGTCACTAAACGTGATCCCTCTAAAAATGGCGCCTAACCTCGGCGGCTACATAAGTGTTGGAAGCATCGGTGTATATTGTGCGATCCCGTCTCGTACCGGGCTTAGTGCTCTAGTCTCCTCGTCTTCCCTATTTGGGAACCATTCGCTTCTGGTTCGCTCCTGGTAACCTAGTATCGTGCTTTTGCTTTGATGTTCGCTATGCTTGGTGTCGTCGCGGTAGGGGATTACGTCCGCGTAGGCCTGATAGTGCCCGTGCTTAAGGAGGCGGATTGTGGAACTAGAATAGTTAGAAAGCGGACCCTTGAAGCATAGATTGCAACGTATAAGATAGGTTATCTATCGCTTTTGAGCCACGCCACAGTTCTATCCCGTTATAGAGTCTAGTATTCTAGTAGCCGCGGCTCTCCGGGCGTCACTGGCAATCCTATGAGGCGCGCGAATTTAAAAGGATATATCTAGGTAATGTCTTGGTCGAGACCGCGAAGCCGAGATAATCAGGATATAAAGTAATGGCCGTTGATAGTGGAAGAGAGAGGAGAATAATGATAGTTGGCTGGTGAGCGAATTTGGGCGTGCGCGAAAAGTGAGCCTACTATACTAGTATGCCCTGCCAAGCATTTCACCATTTGGTTTCCTACCCCACCGCTTAATTTACGGAGATCCTAAATTATTTACGTATTTCTATCTCTCGCCAAAATATACGATACGCTCCCTTAAGCATCAATCAAGTTCTCTAACTATGGCCCGCGCCGAGTCAAAGGCGAAGTACATTGTTCGTGCGTCCTAGGCGTTATTTATGGATTATCTCGACTAACTTAAACAATAGTCTCCTACTCTCGTCAAGATGAAGTCTAAGACTCCTACTCTCGTTAAGATGAAGTCCAAGACTCCTACTCTCGTTAAGATGAAGTCTACGACTCTTACCTCTAAGTCCCCTACTACGCAAAAACTTAAGTCTTTTACCCCGGATAAGTCTAAGATTGGCTCGGCTAAAACTAAAGCGAGCGGTACTGTAGAGACCCATTCTTTTGAAAGCGTGTTGACTAATATCTTTTGCCTTTAGTTGTAGGTATTAAACGTTGTCGTGAAAAGGTTGATATCGACTCCGACTCCGACACCGATTCCGAAGAAGTAGAAGCGACTAGTGAGAGTGACACTAGTGACGAGATCACCGACTTCTTATTTGATAAGGATGAATACTCTATTGCTATGGAGCTTGCTATGGCTAAGGAGGTGGTCCATTATTACTTCGAAAATGTAGCCCAAGCCTAAAAGCGTGTTGTTAAACTGGAGGCGAAGTAGGCGGCAGCTTTGAAGAAGGAGAAGCAAGAACGTCGCAAGAAGCAGAAGTAAGAACGTCGTAAGAAGTCCAAGCTTTCCCCTAAAGGTAAGAAGTCTAAGAAGGCTTGAGTTAAGATAAGGATGATATAAAGCTAGATGATACGAGCCTGGTGAATTCAAGATACGGGTTATTTAGATGATGAGGTTATATTTCCTCGAGCTAGGCATTAAGTCTTTTGGGACGAAGGGATAAACGCGTATCTCTTGGTGTAATTTCAGTTACCTAGAATGCTATAGAGCTTATTTAGATCAATGATTATAAAATAGTTATCTATATTCTCGCTCCGTATATAAGATAGTGGTCTCCTTGTAGATCCTCGTAAGGGACGTATTCCCGCTCAACCCCAAACACTCCTTGGATCCTCTTACTAAGCCGGCTTTAGGGACGATAGTAGAAGTACCGGGCCGCCTCGATATACTTCCCTCTCTTGGTCTATTATACTAATATAGTAGACTCCTCGATATGCTTCTCTCTCTTGGTCCACTATACTAATATAGCAGACTTCCCGATATGCTTCCCTCTCCTGGTTTACTATACTAGTATACCTAGTAAGTTAAGACGGTTAAGGCGTTACCCTAGGATAACGGTAACTTGTTCTATTTCGTAAAGGAAAACGACCTCGGTAGAAAGTAGGTCAGAAGGTTAAGGAAATGCTATTTTGGATGGATTAATGCAATAAAACACCTTGAACGCAAGGCCTTGCTGTTGTAGATAGTGCCTTAGAATGTAAATATGGGCGTAGCCTCGCCGCGTGACGCGCCGAGCATTTATCGACGTCTTTGGAATATAAGTGCTATCTACTCGAAAGGATGTGATCCTACAATAGAAATGGATCTCTTGGTGCTTCTTCTCCCCGTTTCCCGTGTCCGTGCTACAATGATCCAACCGTGCAGGAAGCTCAGTACCGTCGGCACCGTACCCGATAGTACGTTTATCGTAGTAGGCGGAGTACTACTAAAAACCCTTCGCTGGACGATAGTACGCGTTAGTTGATGGCTAGTTATACTTTACGTTTATATAGACCCCGCTAGCTGACCGCTTATCGGCTACGTGGTTTAATAGGGCGGGTAAAATACGGTCGGCGACTATTTCTATTGCGATAGGAGCTTAGCGCTAGTAGAAGTAGGTTATTCTCTACAAACCATGGAGTATAAAGATAGACCGAGGCTGGATATGGTACCGCTTAGCTTCTTGGACTGCCTGCCCTAGCTTGCGGGCCAGGTGGTACGCTCGTTATACCGCCGGGACGAGGCACTCCTTATGGTGGGCTTCACCCGTGGCGAAGTAGGGTAGAGACTCAGAGGTGCTAAAGTCAACCCAGATTTCGCAATTTAGAGAGAATAGTTGCTTAACAACCGACTTTTCAATGTTGGATATATCCGACACCGCTAAATGGACTTAAAAGCCTCGTCGGCCGATGCTATTGATCCACTTGACCACGGACCGGTCGACCGTATCTAAACACTAAGTTTTGCCTGCCCGAGACGGTGAGTACGCGGCGGCGATGATTACGTGCTACGTATTTACTAGGCCCTCGGTTAGAAGGAGATTAAGGTCCTAGAGCGATATATATAGCACGACTTTGCTAGATAGTGTAAAGAGATAGTTGTTCTATAGACAACGACCGAGTGTCGGATCCGATAGTACTACGCGGCGCTAGACCCTCCGGCGGAGTGCACCGTCAGCAAAATTCATCTATTCGCCGCGACGGGTAGTTAAGTCATCCTGTAGATGACGGAAAATGTTCATCTATAGCTCCGTTGGTAGCTACGGCAGTGTTTTTTGGCTTTCTAGGATCGATCGTGCTCTATCTAAGGAGGCCTGATTGTATATTTTTGTCCTAGCTGCTTACTTCTCGATTATGATATTCTTAGATTCGATCTTAGGCACGAGGAAAGGAAGAGGTAAGCGCGAGGCCGACATTTTCGACGAAGGCCCTATATTGATACGCTGTTAGTGGTACGATAAATAGAAGGGCAAAGTATATACTAACCAAGAGGAAGGATAAAAAGGGTGGAATGATAGTGCCGGACGTTTAGGGCCCCAATGCAATGTTGTAGTGTCTAGAAAGGCAAGGGAAGTTGAGAAATGGGTCGCGATAGAGAAGCGTTTCAGGATACTGGGAGCTTGAAATTCGGAAGGATTTTGGGGGTCAGTATACCGGTATGCTGAAAGCGTGATTCGATTATTTGTTTACGGTGCGGCAGTAGGACATCACTTTAGATCAACCTAGTCTTCACCACTTTTGATCAACCCATTCTTATCACTTTAGATCAACCCAGCGTTTATAGATTACCCTATTGTCTTGATAGCTATCTCCCTATTAATATTCTCCCATCAACTATCCTCCACTATTACTCGCACTACTTCTCTTATTATATCGATTGCCTCTTTCTATCTTATAGGAGCTTTTCCACCGTGACGCCACTATGGTTCCTAAATCCATTAAGGGTGGAAAGTCTAAGGTCGTCGTAAGTTGTCTCTCTAGTCTAGTGGAGATAGAATACCTTGCTAATAAACTCTTTTTAGGTAGGCTCCCTTGGAGTAAAAGTTGCTAGGGGAAGAGTTCTGGGTTAGAGTACCTCTTTAGTGACTAAGACGTTAACCACTGTTATTGAACCTAATGGCGATATTAAGATAACCGTCACTGGTGAGACGAAAATCCCACTGTCCCGTTGAATATAAACTAACTTCCAAATAGTGAACAAGACTAAGCGCGCTATTGTCGAGATAAGCTCTAGCTCTAGCTTCGGCTCTAGCGATAGCGATAGCGACAGCGACGCGAGGTAGGCTATGGCTACGGCGAAATCCACCCTAAAGTCTAGCTCCAAGAAGACCTCCACCCTAAAGTTAAGCTCTAAGAAGACTTCTACCCTAAAGTCTAGCTCTAAGAAGATCTCTACCCTAAAGTTAAGCTCTAAGAAGACTTCTATCCTAATGTCTAGCTTTAGCTCTAGCTCCGGCGATAGTGATAGCGATAGCGACAGCGATAGCGACGCGATATAGGCTACGGCTACGGCGAAATCCACCCTAAAGTCCAGCTCCAAGAAGACCTCTACCCTAAAGTTAAGCTCTAAGAAGACTTCTATCCTAATGTCTAGCTTTAAGAATACCTCTACCCTAAAGTTAAGCTCTAAGAAGACCTCTACCCTAAAGTCTAGCTCCAAGAAAGCTAGAATTGCTTAAGATAATGATACGCTTATGAACCTGGCCCCGCTATCTAAGAAGATTAAGAAGAACTGTACGGCTAGTTATGGCAAAGTGTATATGGCACACCTCGAATAAGTAATTTACGCCTCTATCTCTAGCAGTTGGAAATATCGTCCTTGAAGGGCCGAATGAAGAACACTAGTATTGCTGAATGGCAATTTATGCTAAATGGACCTCCCTAAGAAACGTAATTCCTACTTTCTGCCCGATCTATTTCCCTGAAAGTATATCACTGGGTGCATACCGAAAGCGTGCTGTATACTGCGTACTGCATCCCTTGAAAGTAAGTATGCTTGATGCTGCGTGCTCGATGCTGCGTGCTTAGTGCTACGTGCTTGGTGCTGTATGCAGCGATACGCGCAATGGATAAGGTAATGTGCTAAATAGAGGTAATTCGGTCGATTCTACCGGTGTCTTTCTAGATGGATTGTAGTCTCTATGCTTAGTTGGTGCTGATCATTCTGCTTGATTCGTTGCTGGCTTCTATGGCCTTCTCTCCAGCCTTCCACTGGTTCTATGGGTTGAATTTTGGCGTGCTTGCTCGATACCTTCTCTTTTAGCCTGGGGGCTTTGACTTCGCGTTTCCGCTTTTTGCGGATGCGGTCGACCTAGGCCTCGACGTGCTAAATACCGACCCGGACCTATCGGTTTCCCGGTGGGCGCTTCTTCCTTAGAGTTAGTACTCGCTCTGCGTGTTCTTTTTTTGCTCTTGCGAGAGATAGTAGTCTCGTCGGCCCTTCCACTTTGACGTTTGGCGGTTGTAGATGACCGGGGATTTCTACGTGGAATAGATATAGTAGAAAGGGTCTTAGATTCTATGTCCGTAGATGGGTCTTTATCGGTAGCCGGGTCGGAGAGATGAAGACTGTGAAAAGACGACGCGGATGTGGATGAAGACGGAGAAAGTACCTATCGATGGCGACCTGGTAGATATTTAGTATATGATGTAGTAAAGTCGGCTGATTTATACGTGGTTGATACTTGAGGTTGATTCGAGCCTCGATGGCCGGAGACGTCGACGAAGGTCTTACGTTTGAGCCACTGGTGGACGTGCTAGACGTGCTGGAGTTATCGTTATCGTCGTCGAAGAGGGCGTTCTTCTTTGACTACTCGCGGCTTAGGTTAGTTCGCATTTCGATAGGATACTATCCTTATATGTCAACATTACTATGTTAAACTTGCCGCTCAATTTCGGACCTATATTGGTATAAAGATGAAGGAATAATTACCGGCCAACTGCTGGGCCGACCGAGCCGGAAGAACCTGGTAGGCTTGGAATGATGGTATAGTAAGGTGGTTGAATGTCGAAGTGTAAACACCCTAAAGTAAAATGGCGGTTATTTGTGTAGTAGTGATGTTAAGTATAAAATCTCGTTGTTTTAAATTTCTCGTGGACGCGAAACACTTTCAACTAGAAATGGTACCATTAGTTGTACCAATCTATTAGGGCTGCCGAGTAAGTGTGTTAAGAAAATATTCGGGTATATTGGTATACGGAATAGGACAGAATCGGAGGGAAGCACGCCAAGGAGCCTATTATATTAATATGGTAGACTTGGGAGGGGAAGATTGTTGATAGGGAAGACGAGAGGGGAGATTGTCGAGAGGGAAGACGAGAGGGAAGACTGTCGAGCGGGAAGACTGTCGAGCGGGAAGACTGTCGAGCGGGAAGATGGTCCTGCTATGCTGCTTTTTCAGAAAGGTTCGACGTAATATATTAAGGTGTTATGTTTATCAATACACTAGAGTAAATGAACTTTAAGTTGTTCCCTCTGTTACTCTCTAAATATTCGAGTTAAGTCTCTCTATATAACGGTATCGTGGTTAACCACTGAATTACGATATGCCCTTGCCTTCCCTTGCCCTTTACCCTTGTCCTCTTTTGTTCCGTGGTAGATGCTAGGTTTATATGCAATACTCAACGCGCGGCAAGGGTAACTGCTAGTGGAATAGACGTTCTTGTAGTTA